TTGACAGTTAATCATTCAATGAACCACATACACATACACCTTCAATTAGAGCACTGTCAGCAAAAGTCAGTCACTGTTACTCTTCTGAATTGATGTAATTCCATGCACAAAAACCAAAACTATACATTTAATCTGTATCGTTTTATCACAAATATACTTTCAATTAAGTTTTTTTTTTAATTTCTGAAAATACTTTCAAGACTCCAAGCATCCTCAATTGGAAATCATTATTATATAAGCCCCTTAGAGCCTAAATCCAAGGAACACATGTTTATATAGTAGAGATTACACACCCCTAGCACAGGTGTACAGGAGACGTACTAAAAAGACTAAAGAATAAAATTAGAGAACTATTGAGCCGTCAGTTTAATAAGGTTAGCATATAATACTATATAAAAGTATTATTGAAGACTCACTAAGCTAACATCTTAATAAACACAGCTGGAATCATATAAAATATTGAAAATTTAAAACATTTAAAAAAAAAAACAGTAAATTACAGTCAGACAGGGGCCAGCAGGTCACATGGTGATTAAGGTGCTGGGCTCCCACATGGCTGACGGTGGTTCAACTCCCAGACCTGGTGGCTTGCTTTCTCATATTCTCTCTTACTGGTGAGTGCACGTGCCCTATAGAAAAATTTTAAATAATAATAATATATAAAATTTTAAAAATTACAGTAAGTTAGAAATGCTAACCCAGCACTATAAAAATATCAAGGGATCCTAGAAATTATTAAGTCATACTACAGTGTCATGTTTTTCTTTATAGTTCTTTCTGATACCTTAAAAATAGGCCTCAAGGGACCAGCAGTTAGCGTAATGGCTATGTCGCTGGACTCCCACGTAGTCAACCGCGGTTCGTGTCCTAGACCTGGTGGCTTAAAACTCACACCAGGGGAACCAGCAGTTAGCGTAATGGCTATGTCGCTGGACTCCCACTCCCACGTAGTCAACTGCGGTTCGTGTCCCGGACCCGGTGGCTTAAAACTCACGCCGGGCGCGTGTGCGTGCATGCCCAAGATCCCGAGAGGAGAATGGAGGAGAAGGGATTGCGGCGTGGCCATCTCCCCTGGGGGGTGATTTCTCGCTTTCTGTCTCTATGTCTCTCTCTGTCTGTCTGGCGAGCGCACGCGCCCTACAGTGAAAA